TGCTCATTTACATCACTTAAGGAACCTATGTGCCAAATTTTATTTATTACTATATAGATAACCTTTACCCTTATTTTCAGCTAATGAATATTAAGAGACAAATAATAAAAATAAAATCTAAATTATAAATTTCATGGCTATAAATAGAATATATATGCATCTAGAAATTCTGACTTTCAAACATCCACTGCGACTAGTACCGTATGATCGAGAAAAAACGGCGTCAGCGATGGCTATGGAATGAAGATCGCTGTCATTTTATATGTAAATTTATATGAGAAATGTCATCGATGTTCATTTCCCAGCCAACTGGACGCCGTTTTTTTTCGATCATACGGTATTTTCATATCCAATTGTCTAGTATTAAAGTCCGAATATACATTTTCCCTGGGTTTGACCGGGAATTTGCTTATAAATGTGAACAACCGGCTACGTCGCTTCACATCGCGTGGCCCGTGGTGTGGCTCCAAATTCGTTCGTTTTAAAAATATTATTAGATTTGGCTATAGGCGCCCTCTGTGTCATTAATAGGGAACTGTCTCATCGAAAACATGCTGTTCCGTAAGCAATGGCCATCTGGATTATATGTTATCTGTGGTTAAATCTATAAAGAACATGATAAAATGTATATGAAATGAAGTAAAGTTTAAATCGATAAGAATAAATGAAAAATGCAAATGGTCTAAGCTATACTAAAACTAAGACGTCATCCCCCTTAACTTAACCTAAGTATACTCTAAGGTCGGAATACAAATAGCAAACTAAATCTAACTAATATCTAAACAGTCTTACTCTGCTCGATGTGATATATTTGAAAACTATTCGAACTTCCTCCGGCTGAGCTACGGTGTATAGCTACAGGGTTGCTACGGCCGGCGGTGTACAGCAGCTCGATGAATGTCACCGGAGCCCACAATTGACAGCAGACGTGCAGAGGAACGGCAAGTTGTTGAGGTGAACATAAAAAAACCCTCAACGAGGGTTTAAGATGTCCAACGGGTACCTCTACACGGACAACAGGAACGGATGGAATTCTGGACTGTTCTGTGCTACGGTCTGGATCGGTCTTCTTGCTCTACAATTACGAACAACCAAACAAGACTTAAGAAAGATAACACTCAACTAATCTTTCTACACCACGTGAGCGTGGAAAAGTCGAAAACCAGTCAACAATACGAATAAAAATCAGTTGAGCATTGAATAGGCAGAAGAATTATAGCATATTGGTCGGAAAATTTGGCTATTTTATTGTTGCGGAAATTGGTCGGCGGTCCATGTAAATCAACAAAATCCAACCACGTCTCTGACCAAATGTGTTTCGGAAGCCTTAATCCTTCTCTAGGAAAACCTGTTAACTACCAACAGAGAATGCTTCACGAAACGGCAGCCAGTTCTTCACGACGATACTCTTCAGTTGGGGAGTACACAAGAAGTGATGCAAGGATTCGATTTACGATGTTCTAGAATATTTTCCACAGCCATATTCCATATCCGGTCAATAAACGAACTTAACTCACAATTTCCCACAATTAAATGAACAAATTGCACACTGCGATCCACATCAAAAATAAACGATTTAACAATGACATTTTATCTGATAATTATAAAATTTCAATAACCAAAACAAAGGATAAATAAATCCAAAAACATCTGATTTGATCTGACAGTGACAAGTGACGGACAGGTGATATCAAAGATAAAGAGAGCTCGACAAAATTATAATGCTGGGCGGTATCCAGTGACAATATTCTGTGGCTGTATAATATCGCGGTGTATATCGGGTTGCATAATCGTAAAATTTTAAATAAAATAATATTTAACAATAGAATTATAGTAAACATGATGCAAAAATAATAGTTGTTTGCGATAATTTATGAGCTAGCACACAGAGGTCGTAGCGATGAAATTTAACTGTTACAACAGAGAGACGACATCAAATGGGGACGGTGATGGGCCGGTGCGACCGATACAGTGTTGCCAGTATTTACGGGAGTGGGCAAGGTAAAGCATAAGCATGGAGGGAGTACGCATTCAGAGGGGCGGTGCTATATGTTAAGCTTCGTATTCACTATCAGAACGAACAAAGGAATGAAATTGGGTATATTTGGACAGCAAACCGAACGCATCCGGCCGTTCGCCATTCGGTTCGTTCCATCATCCGTTTCCAGTCGGTACATCAGAGACGTTCGCAAACGAATGAGAATTATAGAACTGCGCGAACATGACTGGACGTTCGCTCATTGGATAGTAGCATGCGTTCGTTCGCATAGTGAATACGCACCTTTATGTAGATGAAAGGGTGGGGAAAGGGAATAGATCACCTGAGATCCAAACTATTTTTGCATCATTCTTTTCGCCTAGCTGTTTCGGTGTGTATGTTAAGTATTTCAAAAATGGCTATTTATACGACCGAAGAGAAGGTGCATATCGTTAAATGGTTTTACATTTCCTCAAGTGTGGAAGAGGTCATTGGACGTTTTGTGTTCACCTTTCAAGATCGCCCTGTGCCTTGTGCCACAACTGTACGCAACATTGTCCATAAATTTGAGCAAACAGGTTGCATTGCGGCGTACAGAAATTGTGACAATAAGGAAGGCGCAGAGAAGGCGATTCCCGACAAGGAAATTAATATTTGTGCCGCGGTCGAAACAAGCGAATCTTATCCCAGCCGAAATATAGCCGAACAAGTTGAACAATGCTCGAACGGTGCGCAGGGTTTTAAAAAAGCATGGATATAAGTCCTACAAAATCGGTACCACGCAGGAAATTTTTCCCGCAGATTGTAACAGACGTCTGGAGTTTTGCGAGGCTGTAAGATAAAGAGCCGATCGAAATAATTTATTTTTGGAAAATATATTATTCTCAGATGAAAGCTCGTATCCTTTACATGGCTACCACAATCCTTCGGTAGTACGTTATTGGTCTCGAGAAAATAAGCACCTTAGTATAGCACTGCGGACACAATATCCACAAAAACTAAATGTTTGGGCTGGCATGCTACAAAATCATATCATTGGGCCTTTTTTTATTGATGGTATGTTAACAGCTGCCAAATATTTGGATATGCTACAAAACCAAATTGTAGCAGCAGTTCGAAATTTGCCGATCAATTTTGAAGAAGTGTGGTTTCAGCAGAATGACTGTCCTGCGCATAACGCGCGAAACACAATTCTGTTCCTTCAAACCACATTTCCCAATCGGCTAATTTAAATACAAGGCACAATTAATTAGCCACCACGTTCTCCTGATTTGTCGCCTAATGGCTTCTTTCTGTGGGATATGTAAAAAATTCCATTTATGGCCATAACCATGAACGACCCATGAATATTGACGAGCTGCGATTAAAAATCGTTCAGTCGTTAGAAAATATCTCCGCTGTTATGTTAGCTAAAGTTAGGTTAGAGTTTTATACAGGTTTTATTAGGTTTTATAAACGAGTTTTATATTTTTTTAGGTATTTTTGAACCTTTGATTTAATTTTTTTACAATTATTTTGCTAATTCTCCTTTTTTAAAGTTGTTTAAAGTTGATTTTTCGTCATTTTTTTAATGCTTGTTTTAACTTATGCTGAAACAGCAACAAAAACATGAGCAGTGTAGGTACAACCGGACGTTTAATTATTTTTATTGTTAAAAATATTAAAGCTGGATTCAGAGTATCCATAACGTAAGCTGTAAGAAGAAACATTAAGCCGTAAGAAATATAAATCTATGCTAAGTAATAAATCCACTCATAGTACAACCACAGTAAGCTGGAAGCAGTAAGCACGTAACGTAAGCCGTAAAGAAATGGTTCAATTTCATTTCTTACGTTAACGATTACGGTTTCGGCCGGTATAAGGAGCGATAATCGTTCGTTCGCGTGATTGAAATTCCGCTTTCTTTTCTTTAACCTATAAACATGTAACCGAACCTGTCTTGGCGGCTTTTGTTTATTTTGTTTTCATTTGTGATTTTCATTTTCTGCTGTGTTAATATTGACTGTGCTGGTAGTTTTTAATCCAAAAAATGAGTGATTTCGAACAAGAACAATTGCTTATTGATTATTTATACATATTGACTTTATACAAATACATGCTTTTTATGGAAAAGCATATTGCAAGCAGGAAGTATATATTCTAGCAACTGATGAACCTTAGCTGTTGCTTCTTAATAGTGTCACTGGGAAATTTCATTATATGTGAGAATGTGTGCTTGATGTTTAATCTTGCAATGATTAAGTAGCCAGAATATGACTGGTGCTCGTTTAACAGGAGTGGGTTATAAAAAATGTAATAAATTCTATTTTTTGTGGGCGAGTTTCAAATGTATCAAGGCCTCCATCGGAAGCCTCGTCAAGACCATCTTCCTCATTTTCAAATTATATTTTAACCCCTTTAACATCTCCTGTTCAAGGCAATGAGGAAGTTTTGTGAGAAGTAGTGTGTGAAAGAGAAGAAATTAATGAAATAGAAAGCCCAGGCTAAAAAAGGGATATGGTTGAGGCTCTTTCCGAGGAAGAGTCAGTAGTGAAGAGGACAAGAGCCAACCCTGAAAACAGCCTCTTAGCACAAACAATAACTCCAGGGGCTCAGAAAAGAGGCAGGCAACACAAATCGGCGGACACTGTAGAGGAAACTTTAGGAGTGTTAACAACATATCTTCAAGATAAACAAAAGCCCAACAAGAACATGGCATTCGGGCAATATGTTGGCTTTACATTGCCGGAAATGTCCAACCAAGAGGCTAACTACAAAAAACTGAAAATTGTTGAAATTTTAAATGCAGATTTTCCTTAGTAGTTAGGTGTATTGTAAAAGTTTGAGTTTGTGTTTTTTTGTCATTAGGCATATGGTTATTATAAGTTTTTTTTTTATTTTTACTTCGTCGTATGGTTCAGTTTAGTTTTTGTAAATTAGCTTTGTCAAATAAATTTCTTAAATACCAAAAATAGGGTCATTTATTTTTAAATACTTTACGAAACAATTAAAATAAGATCTTAATGTATTTTAAATAGCAAGAGGCAGATATTACATAATTTCTCTTCCATCATACAAAACTTTATTTTGCCATGGAACTTGACCCTCCTCTGAAAAAAAATAATCTTTTAGCGTGTTCCTAGCAGAGTACAACATTTGAGTTGCTCTGTTCGCAGCTACTCACCCCACTGATTCTAGAGGATTAACATCGTCTCCCCACCTTCCCAACCGCTACTCGGTATCAACAAAATCTGTTGGACAGTAAGTAGAGTCTTTCCTATTTTCTACTTCATTTTTGGCATAATTATGCAAGCATATGGTTGCTTTAACAAAAATATCAACATTGTTCACCTCAGCTGTCACCATGTTTCGTAAGAGCCTCCAAGGATTGACAAGAATGCCAAATGCGTCTTCAATCACCCTCCGTGCTCGGGAAAGACGATAATTATAAATCCGTTTTTCTGGATCTAAATGTCGTCCTGGGTAAGGTCTCATTATATGAGTCTGTAATGGAAAAGCTTCGTCGGCTACGAGAGTAAATTGACTTAAAATATTTGTGTTTGGTAAACATTTTGGTGGCGGAATAGATAACTGGTTTTGTTCCATCATATTTCCAAAAACTGAATTTTTGAAGACCCCCATCACTTTCGCTACCATAAGCTCCAATGTCTATCAGTGTAAAATTATAGTTGGCGTCACAACAGGCCAGTAACACAATACTGAAACTCTTCTTGTAATTAAAGTACTGGCTACCAGTTTTTGCTGGTGCTTGAATGGAAATATGTTTTCCATCCAATGCCCCTAAGCAGTTTGGAAAATTCCATTGGTCTTGAAACTCTTTCACTATCTTGTGCCAATCCTCCTCAGAAGATGGTAGTTTTAAATAAGTTTTCGAGAGGGCTTTCCAAATTGCTATTGCAGTCTCTCTAATTAAACAATGTACTGTGGAATGTCCCATTTGATATTTCCAGGCAATGCAATGGTTTGCATTGTCGATCCTTGTGAGAAGTAACTACAAAAAGAATATATTGTAAACACGCCTTTTATTCAACTAATTAAAAACAATTTAAACGCCTAATAATAGTAAAAATATCACCAGTTCACCAAAAAGATTCGTCCCCCGCCGACGCCGGTAGATAGCTTCTCCCGCCCACCAGCTGACTGCTATCCCACCATCGCCTCCCGCGTCGATCGTTCCGGAGCTTGCAGCGTTGCCGATGCTACTTCGCCGTGCCCGTCGCCATGTTGCCATTTTCCTTCGCCTCGGAAAAATCACTGGTTACAATATATATAAAACTCCAGTTTTTAACAGGGTACCCTATTTGCAACTTACTGTAATGTAACAAACGTTGATCCTCGTATGTAATATTTTTAATATCAATCAGCTTCTTCGAAGTAGAAGGTAGCTCGTCCAACTTTACACCTTTCGACCAACGTTACACTTTTATCAGGAATGATGCCCATCATCTCGTTATATGTTGGTACAGCTTTTGAGTCCCTATCTTTAGAGTTTATCCATCTCACTAATTCGCTCACTAAATTCACCTATTAAATCCTTGATTCTTTCTAGCATTTCTTTAGCAGCCCACTGCTTAGCCTGTTTCTTTGATTATGCTTTGGCTTGGGTCATTTTTGATGCAATTTTACACTGAAAAGTAAATTCCTGCTCCTGAGTTTAATGGAGTTTCCAGAGTGGGACCGCCTCATGCCAAGGAATTTCATAAATAGTTGTGTTTTAAATTAGTATAAATTGTGTGTAAATTGTGAGAAAAATAAATTCGTTGAATATTTCATCGTGAGATTAAATTAGTGGACCCACGGAATCCGTAACAATTGGTGACGGAAGTGCGATTTAAGTGGATTTTGAAAATTTTCTCAAGCCGCAGCCGGTCCTGTTTAATTTCTTGATTTTCTGTAGGCGGTCTTGTTCTTCTTGACGTCGTAACTTTTCCTCTTCCTTCTCTCTTCTCATATTTTCCATAAAATCGCCCAATAATTTGCTTACTTCCTCCAATTTCTACGCTTGCTCTCTCGTCCCAACCATAAAATTCTCCAATACGGTGTAAAATATTTTTTCTCACAATTTATACTAATTTAAAACACAACTAACTATTTATAAAATACCTTGGCAAGGAGGCCCCACTCTGGAAACTTCATTAAACTCGGGAGCAGGAATTTACTTTTCAGTGTAAAATTGCATCAAAAATGACCCAAGCCAAAGCATAATCAAATAAACGGGCTAAATAAATAAATAAATAAAATAAATAAATAAATAAATTCAATCTTATAAACTATATAATATAATAAACAAATTTCAATCTACTTCGAAGAAGCTGATTGATATTAAAAATCTTACATACGAGGATTCTCGAGCGCTAAAAACGAAAACCCCTATTACGGTCCTACAAGAGCTGACAGTTCAAAAGGGTTTGGCTCCTCCAGATTTTCAGATTGTCTTGAGTGATTCTGGGGCGCACGAAATTCGGTTCGATTATACGGTGACTGTATCTGGAATAACAGCAAGTGGAACTGGACCATCGAAAAAGGTAGGAAAACATCATGCTGCACATAACGCATTGAAAGTCCTAGAAGAAGTGGGCATCTATAAGCCATCCGAAAATCCAGTGGATGAATTTAAAGTCCCTTTCAAAGAAAGTGCGGATCATTTTAAAGCTGCATTAAATTGCATACTTGAATTGCTAAAAATATGCATGAAAGAGAAAATTCCTGTTCCCGAGTTTAATGAAGTTTCCAGAGTGGGACCGCCTCATGCCAAGGAGTTTTATAAATAGTTAGTTGTGTTTTAAATTAGTATAAATTGTGAAAAAAATAAATTCGTGAAGTATTTTATCATGAGCTTAAATTAGTGGACCCACGGAATCCGTAACAATTATTGGTGTCGGAAGTCCGATTAAAGGGGATTTTGAAGATTTTAAACCGGATGGGAGAACTTTATGGTTGGGATGAGAGAGCAAGCTAAGAAAATGGAGAAAGTAAGCAAATTATTGGGCGATTTTATGGAAAATATGAGAAGAGAGAAGGAAGAGGAAAAGTTACGTCAAGAAGAACAAGACAGCCTGCAGAAAATCCTAGAAAATCACGAAATTAAACAGGACCGGATTGAGCCAATTATCGATGATTTGAAAGTTCAACAACATCAAGATAAACAAGAACAGGACCGGCTTGAGAAAACGTTGGGTAATCTGGAAATTCGTTTGGAGGAGAGACGTCATAGAGAAAATCAAGAACAGGACCGGCTTGAGAAAATTTTCAAAGATTTGAAAGTTCAACGACAAGATAAACAAGAAGAACAGGATCGGCTTCAGAAAATTTTAGTAAGTCAAGAAATTAGACAAGAACGGTTGAGGAAAATTGTTGAAGATTTAGAAGTGCGTCGTCAGAAAGACAAAATTGAAGACCAGGACCAAGTATTCAAAAAAGTTTGGAAAATTTGAAAAAAGGCAAGAAATTCACCTTCAAGAAACTGTAGAGGACCTGGACGAGAGAGCAAGCGAAGAAAATGGAGGAAGTAAGCATATTATTGGGCGATTTTATGGAAAATATGAGAAGAGAGAAGGAAGAGGAAAAGTTACATCAAGAAGAACAAGACCGCCTACAGAAAATCCTAGAAAATCAAGAAATTAAACAGGACCGGCTTGAGAAAATTTTCAAAATCCACTTAAATCCCACTTCTAACACCAATAATTGTTACGGATTCCGTGGGTCCACTAATTTAAGCTCACGATAAAATACTTAACGAATTTATTTTTCTCACAATTTATACTAATTTAAAACACAACTAACTATTTATAAAATTCCTTGGCATGAGGCGGTCTCACTCTAGAAACTTCATTAAACTCGGGAGCAGGAATTTTCTTTTTCATGCATATTTTTAGCAATTCACAGCAGGTCCTGTTTAATTTCTTGATTTTCTAGGATTTTCTGTAGGCGGTCTTGTTCTTCTTGACGTCGTAAGTTTTCCTCTTCCTTCTCTCCTCATATTTTCCATAAAATCGCCCAATAATTTGCTTACTTCCTCCATTTTCTTCGCTTGCTCTCTCGTCCAGGTCCTCTACAGTTTCTTGAAGGTGAATTTCTTGCCTTTTTTTCAAATTTTCCAGACTTTTCTGAATACGGTCCTGCTCCTCAATTTTGTCTTTTTGACGACGCACTTCTAAATCTTCAACAATTTTCCTCAACCGTTCTTGTCTAATTTCTTGACTTTCTAAAATTTTCTGAAGCCGATCCTGTTCTTCTTGTTTATCTTGTCGTTGAACTTTCAAATCTTCGAAAATTTTTTCTCAAGTCGGTCCTGTTCTTCTTGATTTTCTCTATGACGTCGCTCCTCCAAAAGAATTTCCAGATTACCCAACGTTTTCTCAAGTCGGTCCTGTTCTTCTTGATTTTCTCTATGACGTCGCTCCTCCAAACGAATTTCCAGATTACCCAACGTTTTCTCAAGCCGGTCCGGTTCTTGTTTATCTTATTGTTGTTGAACTTTCAAATCATCGATAATTGGCTCAATCCGGTTCTGTTTAATTTCGTGATTTTCTAGGATTTTCTGTAGGCTGTCTTGTTCTTCTTGACGTAACTTTTCCTCTTCTTTCTCTCTTCTCATATTTTCCATAAAATCGCCCAATAATTTGCTTACTTTCTCCATTTTCTTCGCGTGCTTTCTCATCCCAACCATAAAATTCTCCCGTCCGGTTTAAAATCTTCAAAATCCCCTTTAATCAGACTTCCGACACCAATTGTTACGGATTCCGTGGGTCCACTGATTTAAGCTCACGACAAAATACTTAACGAATTTATTTTTCTCACAATTTATACTAATTTAAAACACAACTAATTATTTATAAAATTCCTTGGCATGAGACGGTCCCACTCTGGAAACTTCATTAAACTCGGGAGCAGGAATTTTCTTTTTCATGCATATTTTTAGCAATTCAACTATGCAATTTAATGCAGTTTTAAAATGATCCGCACTTTCTTTAAAAGGGACTTTAAATTCATCCACTGGATTTTCGGATGGCTTATAGATGCCCACTTCTAGGATTTTCAATGCGTTATGTGCAGCATGATGTTCTCCTACCTTTTTCGATGGTCCAGTTCCACTTGCTGTTATTCCAACTACAGTCACCGTATAATCGAATCGAGTTTCGTGCGCCCCTGAATCACTCAAGACAATCTGAAAATCTGGAGAAGCCAAACCCTTTTGAACTGTCAGCTCTTGTAGGACCGTAATAGGGGTGTTCGTTTTTAGCGCTCGAGAATCCTTGTATGTAAGATTTTTAATATCAATCAGCTTCTTCGAAGTAGAAGGTAGCTCGTCCAACTTAACACTTTTATCAGGAATGATGCCCATTATCTCGCTATACGTTGGTACAGCTTCTGAGTCTCTATCTTTTAGAGCTCTATCCATCTCACTAAATTCACCTAATAAATCCTTGATTCTTTCTAGCATTTCTTTAGCAGTACACTGTTTAGCCCGTTTCTTTGATTATGCTTTGGCTTGGGTCATTTTTGATGCAATTTTACACTGAAAAGTAAATTCCTGCTCCCGAGTTTAGTGAAGTTTCCAGAGTGGGACCTCCTTGCCAAGGAATTTTATAAATAGTTAGTTGTGTTTTAAATTAGTATAAATTGTAAGAAAAATAAAGTCGTTAATTATTTTATCGTGAGCTTAAAGTAGTGGACCCACGGAATCCGTAACAATTGGTGTCGGAACTGCGATTAAAGGGGATTTTGAAGATTTTACACCGGATTGGAGAATTTTATAGTTGGGATGAGAGAGCAAGCGAAGAAAATGGAGGAGGTAAGCAAATTATTGGGCGATTTTATGGAAAATATGAGAAGAGAGAAGGAAGAGGAAAAGTTACGTCAAGATTCTTCCAACCGCCTACAGAAAATCCTAGAAAATCACGAAATTAAACAGGACCGGCTTGAGAAAAATTTTAAAATCCACTTAAATCCCACTTCTGACACCAATAATTGTTACAGTTCCGTGGGCCCACTAATTTAAGCTCACGATAAAATACTTAACGAATTTATTTTTCTCACAATTTATACTAATTTAAAACACAACTAACTATTTATAAAATTCCTTGGCATGAGGCGGTCCCACTCTGGAAACTTCATTAAACTCAGGAGCAGGAATTTTCTTTTCATGCATATTTTTAGCAATTCAACTATGCAATTTAATGCAGCTTTAAAAATGATCCGCACTTTCTTTAAAAGGGACTTTAAATTCATCCACTGGATTTTCGGATGGCTTATAGATGCCCACTTCTTCTAGGACTTTCAATGCGTTATGTGCAGCATGATGTTTTCCTACCTTTTTCGATGGTCCAGTTCCACTTGCTGTTATTCCAGCTACAGTCACCGTATAATCGAACCGAGTTTCGTGCGCCCAGAATCACTCAAGACAATCTGAAAATCTGGAGGAGCCAAACCCTTTTGAACTGTCAGCTCTTGTAGGACCGTAATAGGTGTTCGTTTTTGAGCGCTCGAGAATCCTTTGTATGTAAGATTTTTAATATCAATCAGCTTCTTCGCAGTAGAAGGTAGCTCGTCCAACTTAACACTTTTATCAGGAATGATGCCCATTATCTCGCTATACGTTGGTACAGCTTCTGAGTCCCTATCTTTTAGAGCTCTATCCATCTCACTAAATTCACCTAATAAATCCTTGATTCTTTCTAGCATTTCTTTAGCAGTCCACTGTTTAGCCCGTTTCTTTGATTATGCTTTGGCTTGGGTCATTTTTGATGCAATTTTACACTGAAAAGTAAATTCCTGCTCCCGAGTTTAGTGAAGTTTCCAGAGTGGGACCTCCTTGCCAAGGAATTTTATAAATAGTTAGTTGTGTTTTAAATTAGTATAAATTGTAAGAAAAATAAAGTCGTTAATTATTTTATCGTGAGCTGAAAGTAGTGGACCCACGGAATCCGTAACAATTGGTGTCGGAACTGCGATTAAAGGGGATTTTGAAGATTTTACACCGGATTGGAGAATTTTATAGTTGGGATGAGAGAGCAAGCGAAGAAAATGGAGGAAGTAAGCAAATTATTGGGCGATTTTATGGAAAATATGAGAAGAGAGAAGGAAGAGGAAAAGTTACGTCAAGATTCTTCCAACCGCCTACAGAAAATCCTAGAAAATCACGAAATTAAACAGGACCGGCGAGAAATTTTAAAATCCACTTAAATCCCACTTCTGACACCAATAATTGTTACGGATTCCGTGGGCCCACTAATTTAAGCTCACGATAAAATACTTAACGAATTTATTTTTCTCACAATTTATACTAATTTAAAACACAACTAACTATTTATAAAATTCCTTGGCATGAGGCGGTCCCACTCTGGAAACTTCATTAAACTCGGGAGCAGGAATTTTCTTTTCATGCATATTTTTAGCAATTCAACTATGCAATTTAATGCAGCTTTAAAATGATCCGCACTTTCTTTAAAAGGGACTTTAAATTCATCCACTGGATTTTCGGATGGCTTATAGATGCCCACTTCTTCTAGGACTTTCAATGCGTTATGTGCAGCATGATGTTTTCCTACCTTTTCGATGGTCCAGTTCCACTTGCTGTTATTCCAGCTACAGTCACCGTATAATCGAACCGAGTTTCGTGCGCCCCAGAATCACTCAAGACAATCTGAAAATCTGGAGGAGCCAAACCCTTTTGAACTGTCAGCTCTTGTAGGACCGTAATAGGGGTGTTCGTTTTTAGCGCTCGAGAATCCTTGTATGTAAGATTTTTAATATCAATCAGCTTCTTCGCAGTAGAAGGTAGCTCGTCCAACTTAACACTTTTATCAGGAATGATGCCCATTATCTCGCTATACGTTGGTACAGCTTCTGAGTCCCTATCTTTTAGAGCTCTATCCATCTCACTAAATTCACCTAATAAATCCTTGATTCTTTCTAGCATTTCTTTAGCAGTCCACTGTTTAGCCCGTTTCTTTGATTATGCTTTGGCTTGGGTCATTTTTGATGCAATTTTACACTGAAAAGTAAATTCCTGCTCCCGAGTTTAGTGAAGTTTCCAGAGTGGGACCTCCTTTGCCAAGGAATTTTATAAATAGTTAGTTGTGTTTTAAATTAGTATAAATTGTAAGAAAAATAAAGTCGTTAATTATTTTATCGTGAGCTTAAAGTAGTGGACCCACGGAATCCGTAACAATTGGTGTCGGAACTGCGATTAAAGGGGATTTTGAAGATTTTACACCGGATTGGAGAATTTTATAGTTGGGGTGAGAGAGCAAGCGAAGAAAATGGAGGAGGTAAGCAAATTATTGGGCGATTTTATGGAAAATATGAGAAGAGAGAAGGAAGAGGAAAAGTTACGTCAAGATTCTTCCAACCGCCTACAGAAAATCCTAGAAAATCACGAAATTAAACAGGACCGGCTTGAGAAAATTTTAAAAATCCACTTAAATCCCACTTCTGACACCAATAATTGTTACGGATTCCGTGGGCCCACTAATTTAAGCTCACGATAAAATACTTAACGAATTTATTTTTCTCACAATTTATACTAATTTAAAACACAACTAACTATTTATAAAATTCCTTGGCATGAGGCGGTCCCACTCTGGAAACTTCATTAAACTCGGGAGCAGGAATTTTCTTTTTCATGCATATTTTTAGCAATTCAACTATGCAATTTAATGCAGCTTTAAAATGATCCGCACTTTCTTTAAAAGGGACTTTAAATTCATCCACTGGATTTTCGGATGGCTTATAGATGCCCACTTCTTCTAGGACTTTCAATGCGTTATGTGCAGCATGATGTTTTCCTACCTTTTTCGATGGTCCAGTTCCACTTGCTGTTATTCCAGCTACAGTCACCGTATAATCGAACCGAGTTTCGTGCGCCCCAGAATCACTCAAGACAATCTGAAAATCTGGAGGAGCCAAACCCTTTTGAACTGTCAGCTCTTGTAGGACCGTAATAGGGGTGTTCGTTTTTAGCGCTCGAGAATCCTTGTATGTAAGATTTTTAATATCAATCAGCTTCTTCGCAGTAGAAGGTAGCTCGTCCAACTTAACACTTTTATCAGGAATGATGCCCATTATCTCGCTATACGTTGGTACAGCTTCTGAGTCCCTATCTTTTAGAGCTCTATCCATCTCACTAAATTCACCTAATAAATCCTTGATTCTTTCTAGCATTTCTTTAGCAGTCCACTGTTTAGCCCGTTTCTTTGATTATGCTTTGGCTTGGGTCATTTTTGATGCAATTTTACACTGAAAAGTAAATTCCTGCTCCCGAGTTTAGTGAAGTTTCAGAGTGGGACCTCCTTGCCAAGGAATTTTATAAATAGTTAGTTGTGTTTTAAATTAGTATAAATTGTAAGAAAAATAAAGTCGTTAATTATTTTATCGTGAGCTTAAAGTAGTGGACCCACGGAATCCGTAACAATTGGTGTCGGAACTGCGATTAAAGGGGATTTTGAAGATTTTACACCGGATTGGAGAATTTTATAGTTGGGGTGAGAGAGCAAGCGAAGAAAATGGAGGAAGTAAGCAAATTATTGGGCGATTTTATGGAAAATATGAGAAGAGAGAAGGAAGAGGAAAAGTTACATCAAGAAGAACAAGACCGCCTACAGAAAATCCTAGAAAATCACGAAATTAAACAGGACCGGCTTGAGAAAATTTTAAAAATCCACTTAAATCCCACTTCTGACACCAATAATTGTTACGGATTCCGTGGACCCACTAATTTAAGCTCACGATAAAATACTTAACGAATTTATTTTTCTCACAATTTATACTAATTTAAAACACAACTAACTATTTATAAAATTCCTTGGCATGAGGCGGTCCCACTCTGGAAACTTCATTAAACTCGGGAGCAGGAATTTTCTTTTTCATGCATATTTTTAGCAATTCAACTATGCAATTTAATGCAGCTTTAAAATGATCCGCACTTTCTTTAAAAAGGACTTTAAATTCATCCACTGGATTTTCGGATGGCTTATAGATGCCCACTTCTTCCAGGATTTTCAAAGCGTTATGTACAGCATGATGTTTTCCTAACTTTTTCGATGGTCCAGTTCCACTTGCTGTTATTCCAGCTACAGTCACCGTATAATCGAACCGAGTTTCGTGCGCCCCAGAATCACTCAAGACAATCTGATAATCTGGAGGAGCCAAACCCTTTTGAACTGTCAGCTCTTGTAGGACCGTAATAGGGGTTTTCGTTTTTAGCGCTCGAGAATCCTCGTTTGTAAGATTTTTAATATCAATCAGCTTCTTCGAAGTAGAAGGTAGCTCGGCCAACTTTACACTTTTATCAGGAATGATGCCCATCATCTCGTTATACGTTGGGGCAGCTTCTGCGTCCCTATCTTTTAGAGATCTATCCATCTCACTAAATTCACCTATTGAATCCTTGATTCTTTCTAGCATTTCTTTAGCAGCCCACCGTTTAGCCCGTTTCTTTGATTATGCTTTGGCTTGGGTCATTTTTGATGCAATTTTACACTGAAAAGTAAATTCCTGCTCCCGAGTTTAATGAAGTTTCCAGAGTGGGACCTCCTTGCCAAGGAATTTTATAGTTAGCTGTGTTTTAAATTAGTATAAACTGTGAGAAAAAAAGATTTTATACCGGATTGGAGAATTTTATAGTTGGGACGAGAGAGCAAGCGAAGAAAATGGGGGAAGTAAGCAAATTATTGGGAGATTATATGGAAAAAATGAGAAGAGAGAAGGAAGAGGAAAAGTTACGACGTCAAGAAGAACAAGACCGCCTACAGAAAATCCTAGAAAATCAAGACATTAAACAGGACCGGCTTGAGAAAATTTTCAAAATCCACTTAAATCGCACTTCCGTCACCAATTGTTTACGGATTCCGTGGGTCCACTAATTTAAGCTCATGATAAAATACTTAACGAATTTATTTTCATCACAATTTATACTAATGTAAAACAGAACTAACTATTTATAAAATTCCTTGGCAAGGAGGTCCCACTCTGGAAACTTCATTAAACTCGGGAGCAGGAATTTACTTTTCAGTGTAAAATTGCATCAAAAATGACCCAAGCCAAAGCATAATCAAATAAACGGGCTAAACAGTGGGCTGCTAAAGAAATGCTAGAAAGAATCAAGAATTTAATAGGTGAATTTAGTGAGATGGATAGAGCTCTAAAAAAATAGAATAGGGACTCAGAAGCTGTACAAACGTATAACGAGATGATGGGTATCATTCCTGATAAAAGTGTAAAGTTGGACGAGCTACCTTCTACTTCGAAGAAGCTGATTGATATTAAAAATCTTACATACGAGGATTCTCGAGCGCTAAAAACGAAAACCCCTATTACGGTCCTACAAGAGCTGACAGTTCAAAAGGGTTTGGCTCCTCCAGATTTTCAGATTGTCTTGAGTGATTCTGGGGTGCACGAAACTCGGTTCGATTATACGGTGACTAGCTGGAATAACAGCAAGTGGAACTGGACCATCGAAAAAGGTAGGAAAACATCATACTGCACATAACGCATTGAAAATCCTGGAAGAAGTGGGCATCTATAAGCCATCCGAAAATCCAGTGGATGAATTTAAAGTCCTTTTTAAAGAAAGTGCGGATCATTTTAAAGCTGCATTAAATTGCATAGTTGAATTGCTAAAAATATGCATGAAAAAGAAAATTCCTGCTCCCGAGTTTAATGAAGTTTCCAGAGTGGGACCGCCTCATGCCAAGGAATTTTATAAATAGTTAGTTGTGTTTTAAATTAGTATAAATTCTGAGAAAAATAAATTCGTTGAGTATTTTATCGTGAGCTTAAATTAATGGACCCACGGAATCCGTAACAATTATTGGTGTTAGAAGTGGGATTTAAGTGGATTTTGAAAATTTTCTCAAGCCGGTCCTGTTTAATTTCTTGATTTTCTAGGATTTTCTGTAGGCGGTCTTGTTCTTCTTGACGTAGTAAGTTTTCTTCTTCCTTCTCTCTTCTCATATTTTCCATAAAAACGCCCAATACTTTGCTTACTTCCTCCATTTTCTTCGCTTGCTCTCTCGTCCAGGTCCTCAACAGTTTCTTGAAGGTGAATTTCTTGCCTTTTTTTTCAAATTTTCCAGACTTTTCTGACGACGCATTTCTATCTCTTCAACAATTTTCTCCAACCGTTCTTGTCTAATTTCTTGACTTTCTAAAATTTTCTGAAGCCGATCCTGTTCTTCTTGTTTATCTTGTCGTTGAACTTTCAAATCTTCGAAAATTTTCTCAAGTCGGTCCTGTTCTTCTTGTTTTTCTCTATGACGTCGCTCCCCCCTCCAAACAAATTTCCAGATTACCCAACATTTTCTCAAGCCGGTCCTGTTCTTGTTTATCTCGTTGTTGTTGAACTTTCAAATCATCGAAAATTTTCTCAAGCCGGTCCTGTTTAATTTCGTGATTTTCTAGGATTTTCTGTAGGCGGTCTTGTTCTTGACTTTTCCTCTTCCTTCTCTCTTCTCATATTTTCCATAAAATCGCCCAATAATTTGCTTACTTTCTCCATTCTCTTCGCTTGCTCTCTCATCCCAACCATAAAATTCTCCAATCCGGTGTAAAATCTTCAAAATCCCCTTTAATCGCACTTTCGACACCAATTGTTACGGATTCCGTTGGTCCACTAATTTAAGCTCACGATAAAATACTTAACGAATTTATTTTGCTCACACTTTACACTCATTTATACTAATTTAAAACACAACTAACTATTTATAAAATTCCTTGGCATGAGGCGGTCCCACTCTAGAAACTTCATTAAACTCGGGAGCAGGAATTTTCTTTTTCATGCATATTTTTAGCAATTCAATTATGCAATTTAATGCAGTTTTAAAATGATCCGCACTTCCTTTAAAAGGGACTTTAAATTCATCCACTGGATTTTCGGATGGCTTATAGATGCCCACTTCTTCTAGGATTTTCAATGCGTTATGTGCAGCATGATGTTTTCCTACCATTTTCGATGGTCCAGTTCCACTTGCCGTTATTCCAGCTACAGTCACCGTATAATCGAATCGAGTTTCGAAAATATTTTGTATTTAGGTCATTTATGACCCAAATAACTCATTTTGAGTGAAATTAAAAAAACTTTTTTTGCCGATATGAATAATGAGAATTCATAGGTACCTAAGATATCTGTACCAATTAAGTACTTGCTGTAAAGTTAGTTTAACAATAAATAAAAAAAATCGGCGCCGGGAGGCACGTATAGCCGCCCATACTAAAATATGTTAATATCTCGAAAACTGCGACTTTGACTGATTTTGATGTTATTACAAATTTTATTGCAAATATTATTCCTAATCTCAATTTGAAAACAGCGTTTCGCTAGCTACCGTAATTTTGGAGTTACGATTTTTTTAAATGTTTAACTCCCTCCCATACCCCTTTACCATTCCCCCACCCCCACCAAAAAGTAATGGCCAGATTCTCGGGTGCCACAGTATTTTTGTGCCAAATTTGGTTAAAATCAGTTCAGCGGTTTTTGAGTTATCGTGTTACAGACGGAGAGACAGACAGACAGACACCAGGAAAACCATACCTATTGGTATGGTCGGCTAAAAATTTAAGTACTAAAGCATGAGTACCTGTTTGTTCACTCCATTTATATATGAATTGACTAATTTATACCTGAGACAGATAGAAAGTCGTTCTTCTGGATCAACTGGCCTTCGGATTTTTTTTTGTTAAATCAATCCAGATTTTGCCAAATCAAATTTCTCGAATGACATACGAAAGTAGTTAAAAATTTTTATAGAATCCCTCTTCAAATCCAGCACTAAGTGGTGGAATTCTCCATACTGTCTCCTTTTTTGGCATATCTCATGTACCCAAACTTTATGTTTTCGTTTTTTTCTCCCTGGTTCTTCATCTTCTTCCAAGAGTATTTGAAACAAAAACATTTCCTCATCAGAACTATCCATTATATATTCTCAAAATACAGTTCTGCACTACACGAATACCCGAAGCAAACTGAACCCCGTGTAGGTCTAATAAAAAATCCGCCTGGCTCCGTCCCTAGACGCAGTTGCAACAAATGCGGGGCGACCCGACCCGACCCGCCTCAAGGTGCGTATTCATTATCCGAACGAACCATAGACTTAAAATAAAATATAGACTACACTATTTACACCTCAACGCGGACAGACAATATTTTTTGTACACATGTTTACTTCTGGGTACAGTCGACCGAGCCTTCCTCATCCAGTCTATGTTGTCACGTCTTTAATATTATCAATATTTTTTTTCTTGTTATACACATATATTGAGATATTAATACTACAGTTTAATAAAGTAGGTTTTAATATTCCATAGATGTATTAAATAGTCCTTATACTACTAAATTATAAGTTGGATACTGTTTAAAAAGGATAAGTTCTTTACAATATGACAACACCGATTAGAGGCGAGGGAGCCTATTCATTCATTTATTACCTTGTAGTACGCGTCGCACGTGTGCGGTAAAGCTTTGTTGCCGCTATGTTCCCGGCTGTATTAACGCATTTTCTTAGCTTGTAGTCCTTAAGTGTTTATTTTATTGACTTTTTCTGTTCAAGAACTATAAAATATGGTTCGCCAGTGCCAAATTTGCAAGAAAAATTTGACTTAAATAATTCATTTAAGTCTTGAAACTCTCAATTTACCCATTGGGAGTCAGTGGCGTTGTTGTAGAAAGGCGCTTATTTAGATAATATTTTAGTAAAATGTAAAATCTGAATTTTTTCTCTTATATTACATTATTTACTTACTTACATTGTAACAAAATCATAATTATAACCCTGTTAATAATTAATAATGTTTTTATTAAAAATATATTCCGGTTTATTCTAAAATTATCTTCAGAATCTAAAATAACATACAAGAATTTTAATATGATATTACATTATGAGACAATATTTTTTAATATACCGGGTCGTCTCAAAAGTGGTTCACCGCTATAACTTTTTTATTTTTTCAGATAAAAAAACAGATTTGTATGTTAGTAGGTATATGACATAAATTAGGATTTATTGACGTATTCAATTGTTTTTGGTCTCTTTCTGTTTCACCGAAATGATTACATCTTTTGATTTTTAAAGGCACCCTCGGTATATTTCTACTTTATTCGATAGAAAATGATAATAGAATTCTGAATAGAATGACATATCATATGTCAACTTTTGACATTGTCGCTTAAAAACAAATCGTATTATAAATTTCAATCCAGGGTGCCATGGTGTTGTTAAAAACACTAAGTTTTAATCAAGGAGCCTTGGAAAAATAGTTTTGATCGTCTAATGGGTTTCGTGTCTTGTCTAGGCCGATTAAAAGATGTACAAATCATATTTTTAATCATACATATGTCAATTTTTTCAAATGGAACAAGGGTGACTCGTTAGCATATTTGGAAAAAGCATTTTTTTATGAATATATTGATACCACACACTTGGTATTTCGAGTCAAATTGTCGTTATGAACCACGTGTTACAATTACAATTAAACCATATGCGAAAGTGTCAAAAGTTGACATATGATATGTCATTCTATTCAGAGTGTCATTTTCTATCGAATAAAGTAGAAATATACCGAGGGTGCCGTTTAAAAATTAAAAGTTATATTCATTTCCGGTGAAACAGGAAGTGACCAAAAACAATTGAATGCGTCAATCAATCCTAATTTATGTCATGTACTAACATACTAAATCTTGTTTTTTTATTTGAAAATATAAAAAAATTATGGGGATGAGCCACTTTTGGGACGCACCCGGTATAATAAAGACATCACTTAACCAGAAAAAAAATTACAACAATCATATTTTTTTTCTCTCCCTGTCGCCGATTCTATTATATCTGTAGAATATTATTAATTTTATCCTTTTTGGACTCTAAGATGTTTTTTCTAAACTTTTATTTAAAAAACCTGTCCTAAATCTTAATAAAATATAAAAAAATTTAAATACGATATATTTTTAATTTAATTATTGCTTCATTAAAATAAAAAAATTACCCGGCTATGATACGGAGAGTTCAGGTGTACTTGAGAAACGAAAGATAGTGTTGTGTTTCTCGGCAGAGTCGTCAGGGAACGACCGTTACGACAGAGACAACCTATCTATCGCTCGTGTCGCACTCGTTATAACCTAAAACAATAACACAACAATAACAAGACATTGTCTGACCGCATGTTCCAGCTATTTATGAATGAGATGCTCAGTCTATATTTTATTTTAAGTCTATGGAACGAACGAACGAATGAAAATGCGGTATATTTAGACGGGGACCGAACGCATGCGGCCGTTCGTTCGTTCGTGCGGATAATGAATACGCACCTTCAGGTGGACGCTTACCTTAAATCGTACATCCCTAACGGCTTGTGTGACATGAAGTGCGGCTTCGGGGAACGGGGAATTACAAGAATGCTAATGTCATACAACGGTCGACATTGATTTATTTTATTGTTTTGACGCAACACTACGGCTAGATTTTTGTTCGTGTATTTTGTAAAACATTATTTTAGAATGTGTACATTTTCTGATTCAGATTATTCAGATACTATTGATATTGAGGAAGAACGTGAAGGAACACCACCAAGAAAAACTAGGAAAATGGACTACCAACAGACATATAAAGAGAAATGGGAAAATAATTGGAAGTGGTTGCAAAAAAGTAAAAAGGAAATGTACATGCTGGGTAAGATATTTAGACTGTCAAGTAGAATCATTTTATAGCTAAAATTAATAATT